AGTCCAATGTCTTCAGTGTTACGTGCCTTGTGCCAGAACACAGGGCCAGCCTTACACAAGGGTGGTTGATTCTATCATCTCTATATTATATCTTTATATCTATTGAAAACATAGAAATATATAAATATATAGGATTTTTTTATAGATATATAAGCATGTGATTTTATCTTTTGTATGGTGTGTATATGTACTGGGATGTGCGTATATACAATATATAGACGGTATGCATATGTACTGTATACATACACTAGCTTACATGCACACACATCATACATGTCTCCAAGGGAGACAGGAATTGCATAGGCGTTACTGCATTGAATACAATGGCTGGGGGAGCAACGTACCATTTCTCTGCTTTTAAGACCTCTTTCGACAGGGCTGAGAGGGGAATCTGCAAAAGCAGAGCATGTTGCTGCTTATTTGCAAGCCTGTTTCGGTTGTTTTACCCATCGGTCAAACAAACAGCAATACGGATAAGATAAGAAGGAAAGGGGACACCGAAGACCCTGCGGGCCACCTGGTTGAGTTTGTGCTATGAGAAAGAGATAGATGGAGCCTGAATCATGTCTGAGAATTCCTATCAGCAAAAGCTCAACCAGCACGGGGGACACAGCCAGAGTCAGCAGAAGCCCCAGTGGAGAAGACCTGTGGGCACCCTGCCCTCTGCCGCTCATCCCACGGCTCCCGCGTGCTGCTGCTGGTATGGGAAGAGCTTTGGTCTCTTGTTCCATAAGGATTATCCCTGTTGAGTTCAGTCTTGTGGCCGGAGGGCACTGGCTGCTCCAGCCATCGACGAGCCCTGCAGAAGGACACGTCTGCATGTGCTTCATGGGTTCTGCTTTGCAGCAGGCGGTAAGAGTCAAGGAGCCTGAGCAAAAAGTGGGTAGGGGAAATTGGCAACCCAAAAGCCCAAAGGCTAGAAATAAAAGCTCTGGGGTCTGCAGAAATGCGTATTATTCACAGTCAGATGCCCTAGCTAGGAAGGGGAGGGGAGGAGAAGATAAAGAGCTCATCTGAGAAAAACAAAACCTTCTCTCTGCTGCTGCAACTGCTCATGAAACTGTAAGCGACACATACAAAACAGCTTCCCCTCTGTTCAGAGCAGCAGGAAGGCACTGATTAAAGCTGAAGTACCGAGACCTCCCATTTGGGTCGGCCTCTCCCTGCCCTCCCGGTACCCTCCCCGCCTCACAGCCCGGAGCTGGCTGCACACCGAGCACCAAAAGGCAACCAGCTCTCAGGCAAGGCTGGCCAGGCAGGGCACCGAAAAGCCGAGGGCGCTTTGCATTGTTATTCCTCTCCCCCTCCCGCAGCCTTGCTCGTGCCGGCAGTCACGTTTCCATCCGCAGGACTATCCATGTGAGTAATAGCTACAGATCTGAGATAGGCGGATAAACCTGGAGGGAAAGCTTGCAAAGCACCTGTGCTTGTCTAGTACAAAGGCTGCGTCTATTTTCTGATGGGGGATGATGGGGAGTTATTTGCATTATTGCTGCTGCACCGAGCACTCATTTCCCCCCGTAACCAATGCAAGGGATCACTGACCTTTCCTGCTCACAGCTATCTGCAATGTCCAGCCATGGGAAAATGCTCTTCCCATGGACACTGCTGCTCACAATTGCATGCAGAGTTATTACAAAAGAAACAAATGCTTTCCCTTTTTCAGCCAGCTGCCTGGAGAAAAAGCCACCCACTGCTATTGGGAATAAGTACCTGGGTGAAAGATGTCACTGATGAGAATGGGATTGCAAAGCAACCAACAGGAAGGAGTGACAAATGACAGGAATCATTTCTCAACATATCTCTGGTGGCTTTAACCTTGCCAATCAAGGCAGGGCACCATTTTCTCCCCAGTGGCAAAAAAGCAGAGGTGCTCAGAGTGGAGGCTGCACACAGGCAGTTCAGGCGGCTCAGCACAAGCACTGGGATATTGTCCCTGCTTACTGAGGTGCCTGGACACTGTTGCCAAATCTCCCTTCCCTCACGTAGGCCAGGCCATTTGATGGCTTCTGTGAAAAAATGCCATGTGCCAAGGAGCTTTCAGTGCCGCAAACAGAAAGGCAGATCATTTCCTTTTCTCCCCCACAAAGAGGTACAGAGTTGAGCAAAGAAGTAAATTAAAAAAACAGGGGAGGAGGGAAATTGCCTTGCCAGCCTCCCTAGCACCCAGTGCAGCTTACAGAAAGTCTCTTTTTGTTATTTTTACTCCTGCTGCCCCAGTTTCCCATGCATCTGTGCACACTTGAACAGGAGTACTTTTCCCCATCTGCCTGTCTCTATACATCTAAGTTTACCCCGCTCATCTCTGGGCCAGGGACTCGTGGAGCAGCAATTTTTCTGCAGGGACTCACTTTTTGCTTTTTACATCTCCTCAAATCGTAACTAATGGGAGGACCTGCCGGTTCCCTGGAAGGAAACAGCTCTGACAGCTTTGAGGCAGCACAATGGGCAGAGCCACAGACATCTTGTGCACAGAGATCCCTGTGCTGTGGCCACATAAAGGGCTGCCTTGCTTACTGTGCCAGAGAGTTTCCAGCTTAACTCTTGCTCCTTTAGATATATGGGTCAATTTGATCACATAATTTATTGGGAAAGGCAGGAAAAAAAATGTAATTAAAACAGTTTATGCAAATAAAACCATTTTTTGCTCACTTGGTGTTGCATATTGATACCTAGGCTTAATGCCCTGGCCTAGCTTGCGACATGCCTGAAGGCTACAGGAGGCAAACCAGGGGCCCTGGCATGTTTGCTCCCACTGTCCCAGCCAGAGCCAGAGATGGGCGGCACGTGTGATCTGAGGTATGGCATGGGGGAAAGTGAGTAAGTGCTACAGACTGCAGCCCACCGGCCTGGCAGGGGCTGTTCTGCCCTCTTCAACTGCAATGGGGCCGAGTCAAGCCAGGGCAGAGGATGGAAGGGATTGCCCTGCGAGTGCTCTAAGCAGGCTCCACCTCTCCTCACCACAGGGATAGAGGGGAAGCATTTCCAAAGCTCTGACAAACGCCAGCTGAGCCGTGTCCGTGAGTCTGAGGGCTGATATGGTAGGCAGTGGCTTTGCTGCACACCAGTGTCCACTGTGCATGTCTACTGAGGGCAAACGGGTTAGTGGGAGGTGAGATCTAGGTAGAAGTGCGTGTTTTCCTGGGGAAGACAGTGTGTGAACCCTGGCAGTGAAAGTGACTCCGAGAGAGATCGGTTTCAAACATGCTACATTTCCATTGAAAACAAATGAAAAAGTTTTAAAAATAAAATAATATTATATATATATATATATTTATATAAATGAAAAGCTATCAACTAGCAGCAATGGTTCTAGAGATATCTTAGCACCAAGACCAAGGGCAGGGGGTAACAGGAGAAAGGACAGGTTCAGTGTTGCTGATACCACCATCACGTTTCCAAACAACACAGCTTGGCACAAAGCTCATCCTTCTGGGAAGTGAGAACTTGTCAGCATGGAGACCTTCTGAACAACAGCTTCTCACTCCCATAATGGTCTGGTCAGGTTGGTGCTGTCCATGCCACATCAGCGGGGCAAGGCACTAGCATCTGTGGAGTTTTTGCACCTTTTTAGTTTCTTGCTTTTTTTTTTTTTTTTTTTTGCCTTTCTAACCTGAAGTGATATTGTGTGAACACGTGGAGCTCATCTACTTTAAAAGAATAAAATGATGACGAACCCCAAGCCCACAGAACAATCTCCTCTGTGATAGAAGGTGCAAGTCCTCTATTCACATTTTGGCTGGACTCCGCATCCCTTCAAGAAAGGAAGAAATATTTCACAGGAAGAAGTAGAGCATCCCTTCCTCCTGCTGTCATCAGTCTGCTGTGCTGTGGAACATGTTACCTTGGTCACAAGAGAATACGTGAACCTTTACAGGACATCATCACATGTTTATAATCCAAGATAATCTTGCATTGATAGCCCCTGCCACCAAACTGCAGCAGGTTTTTCTTTCAGTTATTCCAAACAAAACAAAACAACACAAAAACCCCACAACAATCTAGGATTATAAAGACATAGTATAAATAATGTAAATTAGAATATAATTTTTTTAAGCCTTTGAATCTCTGCCCAGAGATGGCTCTTGACTCATTGGCTGTTTAGCTTCCACAGCAGCCCTGGTTTTGAATGAATAGTTGTGTGTGTGTATATATATATATATATATATATATATATTTATTTCCTACAATATAAAAATATAAATGCAAAATTTCCCCCTGCCTTCTCTATTTTGCTATTTTATAATCTGCACATGACATCATGTTATAATATACGTATGATAAACTAGTACTACGGTTATCATAAAAGGAGCTGAAAGCCAAGTATTACTCTACAGCTCAACAGTAGGGAGAACTGAGAAAGGGGTATCACAGTTTAGTGGAGGCATGTGTTTCTGAATCAGAAGAAACAAAATCCTGGCCCCAGCCTTTCCTTCCTCCCAGAAATCTCTGCGAGTGCAGAAAGCTCCCACTCCAACAGAGAGAACTGGTGGAGCTGGAAGATCCAGGGACAACATAAACACACAGGATGCTCTGTCGAAAATCGGAAATCTGACAGTCGTCAACAAAAGATTCAAATGGCTCAATAACTGAACTGAACTACGAAAAGAGAGGCAGAGATTGAAACTAAAAAAACAACAACAATAACAACAACACAAAACCCAGCCCAACAAACCGACAACACACATATAAAGGAAACCGCCGGGAGAAGAAGGCCAACAAAGACCCGTCATCTAGCTTATAGATTGTTAGGTTTGAACATGTAGAGTATGGCCCCAGCACATGCTTCTGAAGAATGAAATGTTGCCACCTACACTGCAGCTGCCATGGTTGGAGATACCAGTAAATTTCTAAACATTGTCTCAATCTTTAAAATTCTGCTTAGCTTCTATCAGACGCACATCGTCTTAGTTTTAAAATTTTCAGTGTGGGTTTTTTCTTAATATATATAATATATATATATATACTTTATATAATATATCAAAGTTTAGAGTATAGATTAAAAAAAAAATTATTCAACAGCTTTCTGATCTGAGGCATTCCTTCCTAAATATCGGGGTAAAACTCAGAGCCATGGTCCACACTCTGCAACATCGGCTTCTGATCAAGAGATGACATCCTGCTCAGCATTTCAGCTGACAGTGCGTAACTATTGCCTGACTTTTCCTCGAACCAGCTATCTAGTGCCCGCTTGCAATCAAAGTTGGCAATGGGTGGCCCGTTGACAGCAATCGTCAGCAGGTCACTGAGTTGCTCCAGTGTGAGCCGAGAGCGGTTATTTTTGCGCACTCTCTGCAGGGCATTGCGCCCCTTCTCACAGCAGGCCGATGAGGTGGGAAGGACTTTGAGGATCTGAACTATTTTATTTAAGAGAGGGAATCTCTGTTTGTATTTACAAATGTGACTGAGTAAGTCTTTAAAACCATTTTTGGTATAATAATCCACCTTGAGTTCTCGCCACTCCATCAGCAAACTCCCTTGGGTGTCCATTCCCTCTCTGCAAACCTCTCTGGAAAATGATGGGACCGTCTCCAGGTGTTCAAATATTTGTACCATATCCTCCTTCCCATAGCTCATGAGCTCATCAGTGCTTCTGGGCCAAGCTGCAAGGTCAAATACCTGACAGGCTTTCACAAAAGTCCGGCTACGGGAATCAAACCTTTGGGCTAGGATCACCTGGGTCTTCTGGCAGATCTTTTCTCTGATTGACTGGAATTTGGCTTCAGCCACCCGCAGGTTTTTCACAGCAATGCCATTAAAGCTTTCACGGAAGTTTTCCTCAAATTCCTGCAGGTACTCTCCTGGTGAGTCTGCTAGCCGACTTATCTCCTGAATAGCTTCCTCTATTTTATCATCCACTTGCGACACAAGAAGGTACTCCCCTTGGAAGACGTAGGCAAGGCGTGAAAGTACGGCAATCACATCCAGCAGGAAGTAGATAAGTTTAATTGACTGGTAGTCCATCAGGAACTGCAGGAGGGCCAAGGCAATTGCAGAAGCGTCTGCCCTTTGGGTCTGGCCACTGACATCCTTGAGATGGGCCACAACCTCAAGATAATCCTTGATAAGAGCATTGAGCACATTCTGCTCCCCAATGATCCACTTCACTGCTCGAATGTCACCCAAGAACTCAGTCTCCTCACACAGGGTGGAAGCAGTGACCCTCAACTCGCACATGAGTCGGGGAGAGTAACGATAGAAACTGAGCAGCTGCTTCAGATTGTTTTCCAGCTCCTCCAGGCATGGCAGTTCTTTCCCACTGATTGCATCCAAAATCTCCAAATGGGGTCTGTGTACCATAAAAGGCAAGCAGAGAAGCCATGGCAAAGTCTTTCTGATTGTCATGAACAAGTTTGCTCTCAGGCTGGCGGTAATATTAGCACCATCAACTCCCAAGCCAATAGTTGGCTTCTCATCCTGCAGTCGAATTCCCAGGCTGGAAAAGGCCCTGTCTAATGCTTGGAGGTAACTGTCTGTTGTAGAAAAGCCCAGCTCCTGAAGAGACAGGAATTCGGTTGCTGGAGGCCCATCACTGCTTGTGTACTGTACATACACTGCAACTGTGTCAGCAAGCACATCATCACTCTGCCCATCCAGAATGATGCTGAGGAAGGGAGACTGTCGGATGCGTTCGACAAGATCCTCCCGAAGAGCCCGGGCAATATGGTGGATTAAGATTTGGCAATCTCCTTCATTCATGTATTGATCCACCACCTTGAGTTCACACTTTCTCAATAGTTCTGCCAGAGGCCGAAAGTCATAGTAGGGCCTGCCCTCCAGTGCCAAGTGGTAGGCTGTATTGAAGAGCAAAGTCATATTTCGGCACATCTCTTCTGTCTTCTCTGGGTGCATTCTGAGCTTGTAAAGCTGCAGGCACTTCTTGTGGAGGTTGCTCTGGCTATGAAGTTTTATTGTGTGTATCTTAAACTGCTTTGAGCCAATGATGAAAGCTGAAGTCCGAGAGGATTGCACTGTGTACTGCCTGCAGACATGGCACCACATTTCATTCAATGTTGGGGAGTACCGCAGAAACCAAAACTTCTTAAGCCACTCTTGCTTAAACCGCCGTATCCTCCGTCCCGTCGCAGAAGACATCTTGGAAGGCTCGTCTGTAGCAGCAATCATTTCATTGGAAACAGATTCATCAGCAGAATCCACCTCCTGGTCATCATCCTCCATGATGGTGGGAACAGAGATGATGCTTTCTGAAGCTGGAAAAAAAAAAAGAGAAGAAGAAAAAAAAAAACGAAAAGGTATAATAAGGCATTTACCAAGACTATGAGTTAGAGAAGCATCCTACAAGTGATGGTCGAATGCTGGCTGACGAGCTGGCCACACCCTACCCACAATCACGATGGCTAAAATTTGAATAACAGCTTTGAAGAAAACATAAATCGATGTTTCTCCTTATAAACTTAGTCTCCAACATGCCACAACAGACAGAAAGAAATGATATTACATCCTGACTATTTGCACAATGCATGGTGTGACCCAAATGTTCCTTTGGTGAAGGCTCCTGCTGCTCAACAGCATGTTCCTGGAAGAAATGAAACATCTTCAGAAAGGGACACATGTTTGTGTTAAGGCAGTGGAGAAAACAGAGTGCCTTCCAATGAGGAACACAGCAGGACATAATTTCATACACAAAGAGCATACATTCCAGTGTTAACCACTGAGTCAATACAGACTTTCAAGCACTGTTTCCTGGTAGCATGTAAGACACTGTAGATGGGATTCCGCTGAAAAAGAATGCATCAAAAATACAGCAAACAAACTGTCTGCAATGGAATGTCTTCTTTATTGGCAGTGCATGATTGATTACAGCGGCAACAAATAGAGCAAGTTGTCATACAGAGTCTTTCCCATACTTCCCAGTCTTCTACAGTGCCCACAACGTCAGCTGCCCATTCGTTCACAAAACCTGACAATGAACCTTCCATGGAAACACTTGTTCACCTGAATACTCAGAGCAAAATGCTTTAGATGGGGACACCACACACAGGCCTCTCAATACTTTCCTTAGGCAGGGTTTGGAGACGGCTGATACTTGGCAAGGCTTACCTGTGGGGTCTGAGAACTCTTGGAGCTCAGGTACCTGGGGTGGTAGCACCGATGGCTCAGGTAACTTCCCAGATCTCAGCATGTCTAACTCAGCCTGTAGCTCTCGGATTTTCTTCTTCAACCGGATGCAATTGGGGCAGAAAGAGGTGGTAGGAATTTCATGGGAGTTGCCTTCTGCAGAAGCCAGTGACAGCTCGGTAGGGCTGTCTGCTTTCAGAGACAGAGGTTCTTCTTCCTCGTCTTCAAGGACTCCCACTTCTTTGGCAGAACTCAAAGAGGAACCATGAGGGGCCTTCCACTCCTCTTCGCTTCGGTTTCTGCTGAGGTTTAGGGAGCCATGCTGCATGGCACTGCTACACCTCTCAAAGATCTCTTCAGCCTGGTATTTAGACGCTGCTCTTGTGGAAAGTGGTGTACTTGTTGCTAACTGTTTCTCTTCAAATTTGGCAGACTCCAAAGAAGCCTCCAGGACATCTTTGAAGATGAGGTCAATCTTTTTTTTCTTTGTTTGGGGGTGGGATTCCCCCTCGTCATAGCTGCGCTTGTAGGGGCTCTTCCCTTGCTTTAACATGGCAAAGTGGAGTGGACCCCTTGTCTCCTCTTGATTATCTGTATTCTTTTCTGACTTTTCCTTCTGTAACTTTTTGTCTCCTAGAAAGGAAAATGAGGGGTGGGGATTATCACCGGGAACCGACCAGCATCTTTCAATCTAAAACTCAATTGAAAAAAAAAGAACAAAAAGGTAGACTGAATCCCTGCAGATCTGTAGGTTGTGTTACAAGCCAGGGAATTGAAACAACTCAGTGGAAACCAAGGCTCGCAAGAGGAAGAGCTCTACTAATGGGCATGTCTGCAAAAACAGAGACAGTCCTGGGTAGCCACAGCAGAGTAGGACCCACACACTTTAAAGAGAAGAGAAACTACAGGCAGCTTGTTTAACCTAGTGGTACAACCAATCTGTGCTGGAAGGAGCCTAGACAGTAATCACTACTCACAGTGGAACCTATCACCCAGAGCCCAGTGCCATTTCAGCTGTCTGGAAGACCTGTGCCTGTTTTGACTTGGTAAAAGGTATCGAATGTACAGCAGTGCAGCAAGAGATTCAGACTGTTTCACAAGAACCCCGGCACAGTGCATGCCACAGCACAAAGATTGCAAACCATATTACTCTCCTTCAGTTTGGAGGCTGCTCCAGAAATGCAAAAGCAAAGGAGTAAAAATAACTTGCACGTTTAAATCCCAAGGTATACATTGCCAACTGAGCTATAATGGGTGTATGACTTCCAAGGATGGGGCATCTAGCTTGTGCCAGCAAACTCTAAGAGCATGGCCATTCAGTGATTAAAAAAAAATAATAAAAGCAACCTCACACAAATTATTAATTGCTTAAAATAAAGGGAATAGCCATATTTCCTTACCTGGGAATTCAAAAGACGATAGGTTTGGCTCAATTTCCATCATTCTTCTATCTTGTAAATAACTTCAAGCATTGATGGCTTCCCAAACAAGACGCTGCTTTATGTTGTTTTTGCTTTTGTATGCTTTTAAAGAATATTCATGCTTTCATAAGAGTTACGGAGCAAAAGCTATCACTCCCCTCTAAGAAGAGCAATTCTAAGAATGCAGAAAAGATGCAAGACTCAAAACAGTTAGAGTAAGGCACTGTAAAAAGGGCTGGCCTGGATGGCAGGGGTCTTGTACCGGGTTTTGACACAAGCTGGGAATCCCAGGCACTTGTGTGAATTTGTAACAACAGATCTGGTTTGCAGCACATCCTGGTGGAGATTTTCTATGGGCAGAGCTTTGCGTCTCTGTCCTAACATTTCCCCTGTTATGGACTGTAACAACTATTGGAAGGGATTCAGAGAATGGATCCTTCTTCTTTTTCTGTGATTTCTTCCCCTAGCCAACCTAATGATTTGGCTCTAAAGGAAAGCTAAAAATCACACAACAATCCCTTGTAAGGTCTCAACTCCATTAATGAGGAGGCTCAGAAGCTACCAACAAAAACAAAACCTGGGGATCATGTTACTTTTTTTGAGTTAGTAAAGCTTGCCACTTCACTTGACAGGCTAACTTGCAGGAATTTAGAGTCTTTTAAACAGAAAGCAGACAAACAGATTTTTATGCCCTTCCCTGATCACCTCCAAGTGCCTGCCTGTCTGTGGCTGCAATGCTTCTCCAGCCTAGCAGCAGCCCCACGTCATGCTTGCTTTAAAGAACACCTCTGCGCTACTTTAGCAAATGCAGCCCAGAGCTCAGCTGGCTGCAAGATAAGCTCACAAAGATGTCAGAGGTTTCCAAGAGGTCTCATCAGCCACTTGGGCTTCCACCTGAGCATGTGACATGTGATAGGATATGTTGGGTCTTCAGGAGCCCAGAGGCAGATCTCTACATACTCATAGCAGCTGAGCACACTTTGAGTTAATAATTCAGTTTGCACAAACCACAGCACCATGACAAACTGTGACTAAAGGCAAGTGTGGTAGGGCAGGATGCTTGCTTCTGGCCGCAGTGTCCCTCTAGACTACTGCTGCAACACAGCTGCTCTGAGGATGCAGTCAGTCTTCTGCAGTACTTTCAGACAGTATTAAGTCATCTGGACAGCTAGCATCTGCATGGGATGTGTACCTAACCACTCAGTGACTTATAAGATCATTAACACGAAAACACACACTCATACCAGTGTTAATTCAGATGTGGGAATTGCCCAAGAACAGCCATCAAGATGTAACACTGAAAGTGCATAAGAACTCCAAGGTGATGGAGGACAACCAGCTTTTTCAGGACAACTCATCCACCCCATGCTTAACGAGGAGACACCTTTTACCAAGTCAAGGCAGCAACAGCAGCTGTGTAATAATATACATGGGAATCTTGATTAGAAAGTTATATTTAGTGTGGCTGCCCCTCTGAGGCCCTGCTGTTCTGTGGCTAGGCCTGGAAAGAAATGCCCTTAATTAACTTCAGGTCTCAGCACTGCACAGATGAACAGATGCATTAAGAATTTTTGCCTTCCTCTAAAGCTTCCTGTGTTGCTCACATTACACTGACCTAAAGGACCGCTGGGTTTGCTCCAGCATGACTATTGCTAAGATAACAATTTTCATCCAGGGAAGAATCAAGCTGACAAGTACAAAGCCTCCTGTATTTCGTACAAGCACTCTAAGGTTGTGAGACTAAGGAGTCTCTAGCTGATGTCGCGCTGATCCCACATTATCTTTCTGAAGAAAGAGGAGATAAATTAAGCCAGGAAAATGAACATACAAACATACCAAGGAAATCTCTCTTAAATATACACACAAAACCAGCCAGAGTTCCCTCACAAGAGCCAGAGAAAGCAGCATGGTCAAAGAAAAATCCAGTGCCAGACTGTGGGACCACCAGCTTGGCAATTCTCAGGTCACAGAGTCTTGTGATGGAGGAGCTCTGTGCTCTCTGGGCACTGTATCAGGCTCTAGCACAAAGACGATACAACACAACACCACACAACACAACACCACACAACACAAATAATTATTTTATGATCTTCAAGACAGTGTTAACATCATTCTTCTTGTACCCCCATTCACTGCACAACTGGAGGCTTTTGCTAAGACATGAGTTGCTTGTAGAAATGCAAGTCTTCTTGCACAGCCTGGGCATCACCTACTTCACCCACTACACGTGGTACCAACAAGGGTGTTGGGCAACAGGACCGGGGAAAGGCAGAAAGAGACAGTCTCACCTGTTGTGAGATTTCTGTTGATGGTCTCCTGGGACATACTATGCAGCCGCTTCATGTAATCCTCACTGTACCAGACCCGCAGCTTCTCCCCAGGCCGGATGTCACGACAGGCACGGAAGTAAATCCTCTCACTGTGCTGGAAGGCCATCAGGTTCTGCTCCCTCTCCTCCCGGGATATGATCACGTACCTGAGGGTAGGGTGACAAGGCAGGCATGAAGCACAAACTTCTCTCCTACAGCCCCCCTTGCACCAGGATGATAACCACAATGATACCAGAATGACCTGAAGAGAGAGCCATCGACACAGCCAGACTGGAAAGCATGGAGTTATAAGTAATGGTGTGCAAATTGCCAGATACAGGACAACGAGCATGGACACCCAGGGAACACCAAACCAGTGAGTCCATTTCTGCTGGGAAAGGGACTACAACAACGTACATCCAACCTGAAGGAGTACCTCTGCCAGTCATAGAGGTACAGCCTCTCAGTGGCCAAAGCTTCTTTGCCTAGTGATGGAAGCAAGGACTTCTGGATTCCCTACCATCATTTCACATCCCAGGCCTCCCTTGTTCTTAGGGACATCTTGAATACGGCAGGATTTTTCTGCCAGTCTCTTCCCCATGCATTGTCTTCCTTTCTAGAAGAATCCCTATTTCCTTGCTTCCCTCCTCTTGGACAAGCAAAACTAAGAACTCAGGAGAGAGATACACATCCAATGTGCACAGGGGTATTCACTGGTAGTCCAAAAGGAAATGAAGGAAGTGTCGGTACTGGAAGGTAGGACATTCAGCCCTGCAAGTCTGGGGAAATCCTAACTGCCTGAAACACAACACTGCACTGTGGGATCTCCCAGCAGTGCTGACAAAAAGATCTCTTTCTGCTCATGGGATTTGTTTTCCTGATTTGTATCAGCAAAGTTTCAGCACAACAGAAACACAATTCGCCACTCCAACCAACTTTTCTTCTGTGCACCTTGTTAAGACAAACATCTACAAGCAGGATCGTATTATTCACCCTTTCACTCCTTGTTTTCTTGTTAGAGGAAATGAAAAGGCTTGGTAATAATGGCTTCAGCTGCTGCCATGCACAGGCTGATAACAACTGCCAGGGACTAGAAGACCTCAGAGCAGATCTCACTGGTTCACAGCTGAAAACCGCTTCCTCTCTTATGCCACTTGCCTCATTTATTTAGCACTTCCTGCTACAGTGACACTAACGGAGGTGAGCACTATGCTGCTACTAGTTCTTGCCCCAAAATTCCCTTCTAGCTCATGAGTATTTCTCTAGCTTAAGGAATCTGTCAATTTCTTCCTCAATGCTCTCTCCTTTTCTGGCCACAAGCATGCACAGATAAAGGCACGAGCTCTTGTGCATGAGATCACCCTAACTCACACATAAGGTCACAAACTCAGTCAAACTTCCCACAGAATATAGAAAATACACTGGCAGTGTCTCATACTGTCCATGGCTCCAGAAGTTCCAGATTTAATGCTAAGCAACCGTGCATGTGCCTGCAATCAGTTGTGTTTTTCCTATGTTAGTTACCAGGATGGTTTGCAATCTTCAGCAGTTATTTAAGCAATCAGCTCAGACACTGCCAAAATAGGTCAAACACTGATTTTTATGAATGCTTTTTTTTTTTTAAGTCATAAAACCAAAGAACCTTTAGACCACCAGTTTGTGCATTTGAGAAGGAACTGGAGCAGTGTGCTGGGAAGGAGGTCCTGTGACAGTGCTCAGCTGCTGTGCCAGGCTAACACTTCTGCTGTTATTCATTACTCTGCTAAAGCTGTGCATTCAGATGGCCCTACTGCAGCACCTTCAAGATGCAGCCATGTGCCACAGTCAGTCTGATGCTCCGCCACACAGGTCATCCTCAAAGATGCTCCTCTCAGTACCAGCAAAATGCCAGGTTGCTTTCTAGTGACAGCCAAACAGAGACTTTAGGGCTGTTCTTCATCTCTCTGCAGCCCATGCCCTGCAGTCCCCCCTGCCTGCTGGCAGCACATCACCCAGCCATGTGCTCCAACCTCCTGCCTGATGGCCACTGGCATTTGGAAACCTCACCAGGAGAGAGCCCTTAGCTGACAGTTGCTGAATAATCTGGCCTTTACTGTGTTTCTTCAGCATTGTTGGCAGCTAGGAACTAGTTTTGACAAAGGAAGGTTTATATCTGCAATGCTTTCCTGAGGTAACATGAATGTGGATGAGATCATCCACATAAAAGAACAACTTTCCCTCCAACGCTGCCCAACCCTGACTCATTAACCCTACAGGCACAAATTACACAGGTTAGGAAGGATTGTGACAAATCTATATGCCACTCGTCAGGCTAACATGCTGCACAGTGCTGCCGCACACCATGGGCTTGAGGTGGGAGCATTCTTTTGGACAGAAGGAGCCCATCCAAAACCTGAGCCTGCTCAGCGGGGACATGAGCTGCCTGCTGAAGAGAGCTCTGGCCTAACATTCACAGCACAGAGGCAAGAAGCCACCTTGGTTCAGACATCTGACATCCGAGAGAGGCGTGGCACCTCTAAGAAAGAGAGTGTCATGAGAGACCTCAACCCCTGCAGAAGCCAGGATGGGACCACTTCTGTGGCAGGTCCTGTCACCCAGAGCTGCCAAGGTCACTTTGTCTGCCCCGAGGCACAGACCTCCCAGTACTGGGATAGACCAAGCTCATTTAAGTCTCAAAAGCAACACAGACTCTGCCCAGGCGGCTCAGGACAGGCCATGTGACGGTTCCAGTACCAAAGGAGAGCAGCTATAAGCTCCTGCTTGCTGCTGCAAGGCTTGGACCAACCCCATGGTTCCTCACTCTGCAGCACCACTCTTCCCACAGCCTCTAGCTCCTCACTCTTTCCTACGCCACAGCTCTCTCAAGAAACAGATTTGTCAAAATTTGGGTTAGTCCAGTGAGCACACTCAAAAAAAACCCCATCCAGGTGTTTTCTAGCTGACAGGGTACATTTTCTTCCCAACCTCAGCAGCCAGGAGAGATGGTGAGAGCAAAGGGAGACACCCAAAGCTGGGAGCTCAGGTCTCTAACCCTCTCCCCAGGATTTGCAGTATGCCTTCCCCTTCTCTACTAGCTCATCCTTTGGCTAGCTCCAGCAATGCTCTGCTGTCATCCTGCCAGTGCAAAATACCACCAGGAAAAGGCCACAGGCCTTTCCAAAACGGAGGTGGGGAGCACTTCTGCAGAAGGAGATGCTGCAGAAACGCTAAGGCCTAAGGAGTACCACCACACCACGCCCACCTTGGTTCTCTGATGCTGAGCACTCCTGAGGAAATCCATCACCTGTGACGGGTACGATCCAGAGTAATTTGATGTGTGTTCAAACCAAAATTTGCTGAGAGAAACAAACGACTCAACAGCAGCTGTGTTAAAAGTGTTATATGTTTATTGTAATCTTAACAAAAATACTTTGAGAATTTTTTTTGCATGGACAAGACATGAGGAAAGATTTGCTTTGACATAAGCACTTACTTCAACAGCCAGTTAACATGCTGTGTGCAAGTGTAAGTATCCTTTGCAAGCCAGTACAGAAAAGCCACTCCACCGAGGGGTCTACATAAGGCAGGCAAGAAATCCCCAGATCTGGGCCTATTTGTAACAGTCCATAGAGGAAACTAGGGGAGAACAATCTACAATCCCCCCTCTGGGGGCTGTACTGACAACCATAGTTCCTGTGCCAAGACAACAAGTTCTCTCTCTAAAGCCATTTGCACAGGCAAACTGATGGCAGTGATGATGCCAACAGCACTTCTAACTCTCCCAAGTGCTCAGCACTGCAGGGAGCCTCCTTCTCTCCTGACCTGAGGGTTCCTGCACGGAAGGAACTTCTCCCCCCTCAGAAAACATCAAAGGAGCTAATCGTATCAAGTATATTCATGGGAGAACATCAGAAGGGACCAAATATAAAAATATAAAATATTATTTCTGATATATAGCAGCAGCATTGTAATGACTCAGAAAGCCTTTAAAACATATCACCATTTTTCAGTTCTCTGTGATTCATATTATTAGATCCACTTCTAGCATTTTCCCCAACATTGCCTTCAAGAGACCATGTTTGCAGAATACAAACAGTACAAGGAAAGTAAAAGGATGTCCTCACAGGAAGGTAAGTGTCCTGCTCTGGCACCAGCACTACAAGGAGCTTCCTCTGTATGAAACCAAAGTGGGCCATTCTTGAGAAGAAAGGAGGGTTTTTTCTTTGCTAGAGCTCTACTTCCTTGAACAAGGGCCTTTTACCACACCATTAAAAATAAATTACTTGACTTAGAACTACAAAACAACTAAAAAGAAAAAAAAAAAAGGAAAAGCACATCAGGAATGTCTGACACAGGAGACACACAGTCATCAGAGAAGCTAGTGCACTATACTTTCAAAGGACAGGCCGAACAGACTGATGAAGAAGATTCTCCAAGAACACATATGACATCCTTTTGCTACTCTGTGCTGCCTATGTTCAGTTCCTGTTGAAATGTATACAGCTTTTTGGTCAAGCCTATAGCTCACACGTGGAACAACGATGGGCAGTCACATTGACTTGAACAGTTTTCTGCAACCCATCTGTACCCACAGTGGGACAGCCCAGAGTGGTGTGCTAATTGCATGTAGGTACCACCTTGACTCTTCTCCCCCACTGGGGAATGACATGATAATGGCCCAGATATATTCAGACATGGGGCAGCACAGTAGGTGTAGATGTGCAAATCAAGCAGAGAACAGTCATGCTGTAAAAAGAGCTGCCAAATACATTATCTCCACCTGAGGCAACATTATTAAAGCCTACTTCTAGAATTGGGATTGTACATGGAAACATCATGCAGCACTAAAGCAACTAAGATGTTTCAACAGTTCTTTCTAGCATATGTACGGGGGTAGGAAGCAGTACAAAGCCAACATGTTCAAGACCTTAAACTATATAGCTTGGAATTTAGATGTAAACTTTTCACAATAGGAGACCACAGCACAGATTCCATCCCAAGTAAAACTGAGCAAGTCTGAATCAACTGTACTGAAGCAGAGTTACAGTGACACAAACAAACTGTTCTTGAGGGCAGAAGCCCTGTCTCTTCCCTTATTTCTATGCAGTCTCTTAGATTTTTTAAAAGGAGAGGTGGTTCAAAACTGAAGATTACAACACAAAAGAAAATAATATGATATAATTGTGTTTAAGAACCATCACGCTACGAAATAATTGTATTTTAACTTCAGTTGTGAAAGGCAGATGGAAATTTCACATAGACTGGAGGAGAAAAAGATTAAACTCTTTTACTTAAATGCATGTGGTACTACAGCATGCAGGCACATACCAGATCAGCCCTTCTCAGCAGTCTAATGCCACACAGAGCTCGGATCTCCTGTCATTCTGACGGCAGAAAGATCTCGCAGCATTGTGCTTGCTTCCTTACCACTCTGCATATGCTCTACTTTTACATACCTTTTCCCAAACCTATACCTAACAGTCACAGTAAGCCCTGAATTGCCCATTATTGCTGAGCACAAGATAAAAATAATGAGCAAGAAAACTTTAGAGCTGCAAAGGATGCATCTATTAGTTAAGACTCCGCACTGTGCATATGATAATTTGCAGGAAGATGATGGGAAGGCAGTAGTAGGGTCAATCTGTGAGTTGATAGCAAAGGGAGTTCTCTAGGACATAGTCTCAGTAAATAATGCTTTGCAGGCACAAAAAGAGATCAAGATAATGATTCCTACTGCATCTCCTAGCTTACAAAGCATATAAAGCACAGGGAAAATAGATAAATCTTCTAAGTTTCTATGAATAGGAAGATGCCCTACATCCCAAACTCTGTAAGATCTGAGATTCCTCTTTGTCAGTGCAGAGGGACAGCCATACAATTCAGCTGTTGTAATTCACAGTGCTTTGTTAGACATTAGCAGAGGGACAGATGGGCTGGGGCTGGCTGTTAACCTTCCCCATATAGTTCTAGTATACATGGAGAGGCCATGTGAGCATGCAGCAGCTCTGGATAGGGCAACCTTCTTTACTTTATATGAAGCAGACTAAATATGGTGTTTTCTCTTTCGTGATCTGGTAGTCCATGCAGGAGCTGTCTGTTTTGGAGGCAGTTGGTTAGACTCTGCACTGGGCTCAGGGGGTGGTTTTGAGCAAGCTGCTTGCAGAAGAGGCTCCCATGTGACACTAGGGCTCTGTGTCCTATGAAAACTCTGGACCCCATCACGGATTTCCGAAAGGGTCTGGCACATTTGGCCAACCTGACTGGTGAGGTCGGTCATCTTCTGACCAATGACATGCATGCTTTCTGCCATGTCCCTGTGAATAGCCACCAGCTCCTGGCAGAACTGCCTGAACAGGTCTGTTTGTTGCAGGTGGGAATGAAGAAGCTGGCGATCAAAGCTGGAGAGAGGCGGGCTCCTTGTCCGGGGATGTGGGGATTTGCAGGACGAGGAGGTGCGTGGTGAAGGATGGTGCAGTTCCTGCCTTTGGTTGATAGCTTCTGAGTGCTCCGACGAGGAAGAGGTGTGGAGGAAGGAGGGCCCAGAGACATGGCTGATTTCTACACTGGCCCTCTGCAGCGATGAAGAATGGCGTTCCTGAGAAGTTCCTGGTGTCTCCTCATCTTCGTCAGCTTAAACAGAAGAGGAAGCAGGAATCATTAACGTGAAATCCCTCACAACTCTGACTTCTGTTTCAAGATGTCACAAAGCACATGAAAAAAGTCTTCCCCCATCCCCACAGCCTGTAGCTCATGGTGAGTAACATAGAATGCGTTTACTGCAATGTTAAGAGCCGTTTGACAAGCCTAGTTACAAGAGGCCTGAAGAACAGGCGAACTCAGCCAACAGAGAAGGAATCCAAGCTGCCATGGTATCCTGTAAATAACGTTACTCATTACTAGAACTAAGTCAATTTCAGACAGTAGCAATGACTCACTTTCCCCAAAACCACAACTCGCTAGAACACACTCCAGTATTTTGGAGAGACAAAGGCTCCTGGCCATTAGTCCAGCTCCAAAACATCCCTGACACATTCTGTGCCATATGCAGAATCGCTGTACCCATACTATTTCTTACATCCTCATCACCAAGTAAGACACTGACGTAGAACTCACTGCTCACAAAGTCTGTACTGCAAGGCAACTGCATGGCTTGCCATCACCAAACAAGGTAACCAGACAGACAGGCATAGAAGCAACCAGGAAAGTGCTTGATGAAAAACGAAAACCAAAGCAAAACATCACTGGAAATTTCTTATTAGACTGATAAATGTCTAGCGATTTGCCACTTTGTGTGAGCAACCATGCGAAGCATAAGAAAAGATTACATTTCTCTTGTTGCAACTGCACTCTACCCTGCTTGCTGAAGGTGAATTAATTTTACCTCCGAAACACAGCAACCAGCTTCCAAGATAAACATAAAGTACCAAGACAAGTACCACTTGTCACTACTTCAAAGATTTTTCTCCCTGCATTCCTACTAACATTGTTACATCAGATATAAACTTTTGTCCTTGCATTCCTATTAACATTGTTACGTCAGATATAAGCTTTTGTCCTTGCATTCCTACTAACATTGTTATGTCAGATTAAGTTAATATCTAATGAGGTAGGACACTGCCATCCATAAAGTATTAGTTTCCTTACTTCCAGCAAGTTATGCCCTCCTTCTCTCTTGGGTATCCCAAAAAGCTCAGACCAAGAAGCTGCACTTCCAGACAAGGAAAACATATATGCAACTGGGAAAAGACTCAAAAATCAGCTTGTGGTTCAGCACTGGAAGGTGTCCAAGAGTTGTAGTGTAAGAAGATTAACTTAGAAAGCAGGGTCAGTAGTTTCTTAAAAGAAGAGTCGAGAAGGGAGCCATTATCATCTCCTTTTTCCAACAGCACTTGCACTGAGACTTCAGACCACTAGTAAGAAATCATTACTGGCCTAGCTTCATAGCACAAGTGTTGAGGATCAGTGAGCTAACCCCAGGAGCAAAGAGCCCTCCTGGAAGATAGTTACCATACAGTGATCCGCTAGTGATAGGCAAAGGCTCACAGCTTGAGAGCATTGCTATTCTAATGTGGAACTTGCAAGATGAAGAAATCCTAATTCTTCACAAATATTCTTTCACAGACTGGAGGCAGTTGCTCTTCAACTACTGCTGTTCTCTGACTTGTAGGATTAGTTCAGGCTTATGACCTGTTAAGAAAGTGGAATCCAATATCTACCCTTAGAAGACAGAACGGAAAAGGACTAGATAATCAGATAAAGAAGATGATCTCAACTTTCTTTCAATCCATCTCATCATCCCATAATCACCAGAGAAGGCAAGACTGCCTTGAAAAAAAACACTACAGCACGACCTGGACTGACGGGCAACCCAGCACCTCACAAAACACACAGTGCTCTTCCAGTGTCAAACTGAGATAGGCAAGCATAAGACAAAGAGGTGTTAAGGCAATGATACTTACAGCTTGTTGACAGGCTGTCAACCACATCCAGATCTGCTCTCCGGAAGCTGTGCACATGGTGTGATGAATGCAGCGTTGACTCGATAGCTCTCTCATGGGCGGTCAGGACGATGGCTGAGGGCCGCCCCTTGCTGCTGGGGCTAGAAAGGGATCTCTGCATGAATGCCAGCTTGTCCTTGGTCCTTCTCTTCATGTCGTCCCATCTGTGTTTAATGTCTTTAACAGATCTGGGGACCTGGCTGACTGATGTGATCTGTCTGGCTATGTCTTCCCAGATCTTGTCCCTGTCAGCATGAGACAGACGCACTGTCTGCCTCCCAAACAGCATGGCTTCATTTCGGGTCACCTCAGTGACCAGAATGTCCAGTTCTTCCTTGGAAAACTTGGGCTTCCTCTTTCGTTCAGCCATGTTCCTTGAGTTGAACATCCCACAAAGCACAATTGGGTAAAAGGAAATCAGCACAAAGCACCCCCCTCCATCCAACAACTTGACCAGTGTTGCACTTGGGCAGAGGAATTTGGTGGGATTGAGCTCCCCCCCACCTGCAACAACCTCGGTTTTCTCTCAATTGTACCACAAAAAGGTAGCCACTTTGTTTTTAAGAAGCAACTTTCAAGCTTAAAAAAGAAACCAAACAACAACAAACAAATACCAAGCGAGACCAGTATGAAAGAGCCTTCCTAGCTTTACAGTTAAAATAAAATCTTACACTTAGCCTGATGCTGAAGCATACATATGAGGATTTCAGTACTGCCTCATTATAAGTTGCTGCAGATTGTGTACAGAGAAAAAAAAAAGCAAGAAGACTTTCAATTGAATTCATGAATTAGCTTCTAAGGTGACATTGCTTGAAAACAGGTTCCTGAGGAAATGTAAAGGTTTGAAACATACCTTACTGTTCTGCCTGGCAGAACATGCAAGGCAAACTTACATCACCCTGTCTATTAAAACTCACAGAATCTTATGCAGAGGCTACACTAAATTGGATTTTTTTTTTTTTTCCAGGATAGAGAGATCTTAAGCAGAACCATGGGCAATTACTGTCATTTGTTCTTCCTAAGGAAAAGTCTCTTCTTCAGCAGCGGGTACTGAGCTTCCAACATTTGTCTGCTTCAGAGCAAGCTTTTGTTTTAACAGAAATGGTTGCCATTTCCTATTGTTCTCAAAAGGAATGAGGCCACCCACTTGCTTTTCTTGGCCAGGCTTTGCTGTCATTGCTGCTGACAGGCCTGTGCCTAACTTCTGGTGCTTTAAGAGAACAATGTGTAGCCTAAGAGCATTGAGAAGAAAAAGCAGCCAATCTGAGAATGAGCAATTTAAAACAATTTTTTTTTTTTGGTGGG